TAAGCCAGTAAGAAGAATGCGAAGAGAAACCGCCACACTGAACTGAACAAATGGGCTCTCCGGGAGACGGTTGCATATCAAAGAAGGCATGTGAGCAACTGTAATTCCAAAATAAATGCGATGCATTACAATGTCATACAGTATGAGCTAGCTACGTTTTTCACCAGGGCAGAGATGAGGCGTTGAAAGGAAGAACTATTAGAATGGAAATATTCAGGTTTTTGACTCAAGACACAGAAAAACACGGCCAGCTCTAAGGAGTAAAGAACCCAGCAAATCAAAAGGAACATGTTTTGTTTTTTACCTCTGTCTGATAGATGTCATATAAATATCCTATGCCGCTGGAGTAAAATTGGCATCTTCCGGTGGTGAGTGGCCTCGGTTCCTAGAGGCAAATAAATAGACACACACGTAATGAAATCATTGCATCTTCCAATCAAGAGAGACCAAAGACAATTTTAGGACCTGTCTACCACAGGCTCTCAGCCTAGAGGAATGGCGCCAAAGTAGACTAGAGACTGCCAAACCAAGAATGCCAAGCAGGAAATAGCACTGCTCATTCCAGAGCAGCTGCCTCATGCCATCCAGAAGGCTGGCAGGCAGAGCACACCAGAGCAGCAGTTACCTTGTGCCCACAGTTGGGCTGACATATCTGTCTCCCAGCTGTCAACATGCAGGAGCAGAAGGGAGATGGTTGCATGACCTTACAAGGTATACTCCCATAACTCTACTCTAAAGATGCCTTGCTACTTGCCATCTCTTCCTCAAAAGGTAGCAAGACAAAGGATTTCAGACTCATTAACTTACCCACTCAGCTATCTAATCATCCACCACTCCACTCACCAGCCATCCTCCCAAATCCTTCATGCAACTGACTATATGTCCATCTGTTGGTGCTTCCATCTTTTCATCCATCCAATCACTCACATATCCACCCATCTATGCACTTACTCAACATTCCATCTACTCCAACATTGATGGAGGAAGCACAATGCCAAATTATAAGGATGCTAAACTTAGACACAGTCCCTGCCCGTGGGGAGTTTATAGGACAGTGAAGGAGACAGATCAATACACTGACAATTACAAAGTGCTTATAATTGCTCTAATAGAGGACAAAGAGTACATAGAGAGTTTCAAATCCCATAAAACTGTATAATCTGTAAATAAGAGTGAGCTATTATCCCAATAACTTTTTGGTTGTATTACTGTGTGAGCAATATTCTTTAAGGCATTGCTATTTTTTTCTGATCTAAAAAGTGAGGATATTAAAAAAAAATATCAGTAACACCAACAATAAATAAGGAGGGTAGTTCATTCATTGGTTCATTTAAGTAACCACGATTGACTGTGTGGACTGTGCGCCTACTCAGTGCCAAGCCCAGTTCCAGGCAGATGTAGCATGGGACAGAAGGACAGGGGAGACAAGTAGATGTATAGGATGGCAGTCTGTGTTTAAATAATAAGGAACATGGGAATGCTGTGGTGGGAAGGAGCAGTATGGGATGTTTTTGAATTTTAGAAACCGTTTAAGACGCTATTCAGAAATACTAGGCTGCAGTGCTTAATCTGCTGCACATGACCTCTTAAACGTGTTGAAAAGCAAGGCGGTTACTTTGAGGACTAAGGTGCACCTGACCCCAGCTATAGTGTTTCCAATCACCGATGCATGTGAAAGTTGGACATTGACTGAAGAAGACTGAAGAGGAGCTGATGCGTTTGGATGATGGTGCTGGAGAAGACTACTGACAGTACAACAGATGGCCAGAAGAACAGATGAATCTGTCTTGGATGAAGTACAGCCAGACTGCTGCTTAGAGACAAAGGTGGCAAGACTTTGCCTCACATCCTTTGGACATGTTGTCAGGAGAGACCAGTCCCTGAAGAGGGACATCCTGCTTGATCAAGTAGCAGAGCCGCCCCAAAAGACGACGACCTTGGACAAGATGGATTGACACCGTGGCTGCTTAAATGGGTGGAAACACAAGAACAACGGTGAGGTTGGCGCACGACTGCACAGTGTTTTGTTCTGTTCTACACAAGGTCCCTACGAGTCGGGACCGGCTCAATGACACCAAACACCGCCATCACCACCAGCAGCGTTTTAATCGCCAATCGAGTAAACCAACGCATTACTCGTTGGACTTCTCAATGGAGAAGTAATCCTGGTTGGTGTGTTGGCTTCTCGACATGCGCCCATCACAAGTAATTGGTCTAAGCCTCTTGTGCTCAGTCTACCACTCCGACCTTTGTCAGCGGTTAGCTCTGGAAAGGGCCCAGAGTCCAATCCTGGTCAGCGTGATTCTAGGGGAGCCTACTGTGGGGCTCCTAGGAAAGTTCTTTACTGCTGAGAAAACGGAGACCCAGAACCTGATGAGCCTTCGTGGTACACTGGCTGTGGCCGCCTAGAGCTGCCGCGGTCATCCTGTCCCCGAGCTGAGGAGGAGGCCGAGAGGGGCGGGAAAACAGGAAGGTGGAGAGAACTCAAGTTCTTGGTCACATCATTGAGCCCCTGTCCCAACCAACCCCGAAGCCATTGTGCTCCTGGGTTTCGTGTTATATAAGTTCATACATTCCTCTCTAACTTAAAGCCATATTTAGTTGTTAAAGAAAGGTATATAAGTATCAAGTCAAATATGTCTGTCGACATGTAGCAAATCGGTGGGACAAGAGTGCTAGATACTTCTCTACAGGAGTTATTGAGGGGCTTCCAGTTAATTACGTGGGCACAGTAAGAAAGCTCTGGTCATCAGAAATGTGGTGCAGGGCATTCCAATTTATCTGCCAACCCAGCCTGCTATGGATGAATGTCCCCACCCAGTGTCATCAGCTCAGGCTCCGCTCGCTGTGGGGACGGTTTAGTTGTTGGGTGCCGCCGAGTCTGCCCCAACTCACAGCAACTCTAAGTACAACGGAAGCAACAATCCGCTGCAGCGGGTCCTGAGGATGGCGCCACAGCCCTCCCGGCAGGATGCCCTAGATCCAGGGTGCTGGTGGTATCAGTAGTAGAGAAATGATGCAACCTACCTAGAGTTTATGGAGAGCTGCACAGAACAGGCTCCTGGAGTTTGGAGCAAAACCATGCCACCTGCAGTGGAGAATACTATATATGCCTGGTGAGAGGCGGGAGAGAGACGGAGCTTCCTACTCCTGTCGAGAGTTCCAGCCTCAGAAACTCACAGGGGACAGTTCTTCCGAGTCCTGTGGGGCCCCTATGACAGTGAGCTTGGTTTTCGTTGTGACAACTATCTCCCGGCATGCTGCCATTCTTTTGTAGAGACAGACCTCGAGACTCCCAGTGACCATGGTCTTGAACTGCCTACTGGGAATTGGGTGCTGTTAGAACTGACAAGTCATAAAACTGATAGGACGCTAGCAGTGCACCCTGAAATTGAAATAGTGCATCCGGGACCAAACATGAGCAGAACCAGAAGAGCCGAGCAAGTTGCAGTGAGCATTTACCGCAGGTCTCGTGCCACCCACCGTGTTGCAGCTCGTGCCCATGGCCACAGGGCAGGGTTCCACAGCACCCAACCAGCTTAAGGAGAAAGAAAAGGTTGGGCTGGCTTGGTACGTAGTACATGCCAAAAGCAAGCAATGACTGCATTGCAGCCTCACCAGGGGTGTCCTCGAAAGATATCAATAAGGGAAAATATTCCAATGGGCAGAGCTTCAACATATCATCCTCCTTTTGTGGAAGGAGAAATGGCCCGATACTCGTGCACAGGCTGGCAAGTAGTGTACAATAGGGTGGCTGACAGGCCAGGGGCTTAGAAGAAAAATTATTGAAAGATCAGAGGTGTGGAGATATGAGTGCTAAGCATGTGCAAGGGCATATGGGAGTGGGCACAAAGTGTTAAAACTGTTGCATCACAGTTGACACCCACCAGAACATATCTACCACACACACACACACACACACACACACACACACACAAAAGTTCTCAATATACAAATAGACAAAAAGATTCAGCAACTTCTGACAATGCGATTCCAGTGTTCACCCCATGGTCAAAATGCAAGAGATGGAGCCTATGCCTGGGACCAATAATAGAATCTTCCAGCTAAGGCTGGTTTAGCTACTGCACTGCTTCATGTCCTCCTACAAGCCACAAAGATGCTACTTTGAGGACTAAGGTGCATCTGGCCGAAGCCACGGTATTTTTCATCCCCTCATATAAATATGAAAGTTGGACATTGAAGGAAGACCCAGGAAGAATCGGTGCATTTGCAGTGTGATGCTGGCAACGAATATTGAAGGTACCACGACCTGCCCAAAGAACCAGCACGTCTGTCTTGGGAGACGTGCAGCCAGCATGCTCCTCGGGGGCGCGGACGGTGAGACTTTTGGTCTCACACCCTTTAGACACGTCAGAAGAGACCAGTGTCTGGAGAAGGGCGTTACGGTTGACAAAGCAGAGAGGCAGCAAAAAGAATACTACTAAAGGAAGCCCTTGGCAAGATGGACACGGTGGCTGCAGCAGTGTCCATGTGTGCTCAGACACAAGAACCAGTGTGAGGCTGGCCGGTGCTTTGTTCCGTGGTGCACAGGGTCGCTGTGAGTCTGAACCAACCTGACGGCACTCACGCCAGCTCCAGCTACCACCTGGGCCCTTTGAGCAGGTGCTATTGAGTGAGCAAATGTGCCAAAGAAGAGACACCTTCTTGGCAGAGGTACCAGATCCTGGTTCACAGGAGGGGACGGAGCTGCTGTTGAACCCCTGGAGGAGGGCAGCAGATGGGAACCCAGGGGGTCCACTCCTTCACCAAGTGGGGTGGAGACTGGATAAGTGCTAAAACGTCGTCCGAGGAGGGAATGATTAGTCAGGACCCAGACCCTTCCAGAAGGAAGATTTACTAAGCCACCGAGACCTGGCAAAGGCCAGTGCGGAGGGTAGGAAAAGGCATTGTGAACGGTGATGTCTAAGTACCCTTTGCGGCCTTGAGATTGACTTCAGGAGCTAGGTCTGGAGTCCACACACTAATCTGTTTTCTGGGCTCACTCCCAGCCCCTGAGGGTGCTGTACCCACCGCAGATGGAGAAGGAGATCTTCGTGGCTGAAGAGGCAGGCTGGGAGGAACGTGGGGCTTGGCCATTCGGGCCCTATCAGAACTGGACTAGCTGCTGACCTGCAGGGAGGGTGCTTAGCTATGGGTGCCAGTTGCTGGGCTCTGCCCCGGGTTTCTAGCTGAGTGTGTGCATGTCTCAGGGCAGTCCCTGGCTGATGAGCGTGCTCGACAGGGGCAGGCAAGGGAACATCCCTATGGGGCATCCCGAGCCATTGATAGAACAAGGACGCAGGGAAGGACCGGGACGTCCTGCCCACTGCGGTCTCTTCCAATGGACACCCTTTGCTCTGGAGCACTTTGCTTTGAGCCGGCAGA